ATTGTTGATACCTAGCCACACTAGTTCATCGCCAGAAGTCCACTTTTGTGTGATAACTCAAAACAATTATCACTGCCGGACCCGATGTAAAGAAAAACTTTGCATGTTTTGCACCAGTAAACATTTTTTTTCGTTTCGGCAAGTCTTTGTGCTTGGCACCACGTGCATCAGAACGTACTTGAACAGTTTCATTGTCACTGTCAATTTCAATGTCACTGTGTTCAGTCTCAAATTCAACGTCTCTATCATCACAATATAGACTAGGAATATTATCTTCTTCATCATAATCAATAAGTAGTTGTATTGCCTGAGATGCAGTCATTCTACTTCTTTTGTTGATATTTCGGTCTTTTGCTTCATCTTTTGCACCAACTTTATGTGATGAAGTCGACGGCTGTGGCTCAGCTTTTCGTTTCGGCTGCATTGCTACGAAATGTAAACAGTTTCACTTTTCCTAAAATTTATTTTTAGAATCATAATCCCGCACTAAAATGACATATGCGCACTTTTAGTCAGTCTTCCGCTAATTATATTTAATTAGACGGTATACCGGCCGCTAGGAATATGACGCTAGATCGTCGGGCCGGAAAACCGGCTTTTCGGACATATATGCCTAATGTTGAAGCCGGTTTACCGGCCTGGCGGGCTCAAAGGGTTAAAATTGCCGGATGGTATTTGCTTTTTTCCAGTTCAATCCATATACATTCTATATTGTCCGTTGACAGATCCTTCCTGTACTTAAAACGAATGGAGGAGTGGACATAGACACAAAGGCCAGTTTCTTTGTGTAAGGATGGGTCTGTGCGTATTAGATTAAAATCAGCGACGGATATCTCATCATCATTTATAAAATATTGTAATTGAGTTTCCGAGAAACCAAAGATATGGAAAGGATTGTTGGATTTGTTTAAAATTTTTAGAACTTTACGGTGTTTATTAAATATATGGAAAATATTTAAATGTCCCAATTTTAGCCTACCTTGTGAGGGCCAGGATAAAGAAAATATACAATGCATAAAGATAATAAAATATCAATGAATAAGAGATATTAAAAACAAAAATCAATAGTAACAAACAAATTCAAACAGAATCAATGTAACTATCTTACAATTTCACACTTTGTCACCTGATTAAACAAACACTCGCTGCTCTTCACACTGCCTTACTGTCTTTCTTTCTCTCTCAATATATATATATATATATATATATATATATATATATATATATATATATATATATATATATATATATATATATATATATATATATATATATATATATATATATATATTAACAATTGTATCAATATGTATTATCATTTCTAATGTCATGTAGCAGCAGAAGTGTAGCAAAAGTTTGGTTATTTCTATAGAACAGACATCTGTACAGCTGATTCCTTAAATAAGTTTCAACTTCAGGAGGGAATGTATTCAAGTCGACCCTCTCAACAAAAAAACATTTTTTAGGAGTCGTATTACTCTGGTTCTCTCTAAGCAATTAAAACGTATTAACTTTATAATAAAGTGGGAGCATTATTAAAATAATTTTTACTTTCTCGTATATACGAAGTATAGAGAAAGTCTTCTAATCGTGCAAAAAAAATCGAGATTTTTACAAATCTCGACGTTTTACACCTCACTGATACGGAAAAACATAATTTTGCAATCTTGTCCGTATGTCTGTGTGTCTGTCTGTCTGTCTGTGTGTGTCTGTCTGTCCGTGTGTAACCACGATAACTGGAGTACCGTTACAGCTAGGTTGATGAAATTTCATATATAAGTATTTTATCAAAATCGTAGATCAGTGTCAACTTTTGAGCGATTTCCAATAACAGCAAGTGGTACTTTTTCTACTTTGAATTTTTCAAAAGCCTATACTTGAGGACTATTTCAGGTAGATAAATGAATTCACCACCTTCTGTCAAGTTTTGAGTAATATCCGTTGACCGGAAGTACTAATTTACGCTATTTCCGATTTCTCAAAAAACGCATGTAAATTTATAAAGTACAAATAATATTGCGCACTATTATGCACTTTTCATTTGGCGTTTACTTGGTGTGCAATTCTTTTTTCTACGAGATTTTATTCTATTTTTAAAACTTTAAGCATTTATTATGGAGTTTCCATCCCCTGTTGTTTTATATAAGAATATTCGAGAAAGTTTAGGGGAGATCTCTCCCGGTTTATTTTTTTACGTTCTCCTAGTTATAGCACTTTCTGTGAATATTAACATTGAGTGTCATGCACTTTTCAAGATCTGAGTTTTAGAAATTCAATCAACGAAAAAGAACTAACTTTTCAAAATAGCCCATTAAAACTTAGTTTTTATTGGGTAATTAAAAATCTTTTATTTTGTGATTTACTATTTTGAAAACCTTGTTTGATAGTTACAATTGTATCTGCTCGTACATATACAAAAATTAGAAAAATATATGCAATTAAAAAGAAAATTGTTTACATGATTCATACATAACGTAGCAACAGCGAGTGAAGATAAACAACAAGTGCGAGGTATCATCGTCTTTTCCCGTTCGTTACCAAGACACATGGGGCAGATGAAGTAGAGTTCATCTGTTTCAATTCCCTGTGCATACAAGTTGATAGTGTGGTCTGCACTACAACTGACACTCAGGAACGTCGTTCCAACTAGAGCTCGGGATCCAAACTCGAGACCTTCAGGTTAGCAGTCAAATTCTCTACCATTCGACCACACCGTCCCTCGTGGAATAGATCTTCCATAGCTCTCTTGATTACTTTGATCTGAATTTTTCACGAAAATCAAACGCAAACTTAAAAAGCATAAGCCGGTAAAAAAATAAAAAGGAATCCAATACAAATGTATATTACAAACAACAACACAAGAATCATTTGAAGGAATGATAACAATAGGCATTCAAAAAATACACAAAAGATCGTAATCTCAAAAAGTAATATAAATTATAAGGAATTCATATTATGCATATAAAGAAATCGTAGCATGCCAATATGTAAGTTCAGTAGGAAATTGGTAAATAATATTTGTAAAAAATGGTTAAAACATCCTAATATATAAAAGACCATGTGCGCACTTCTCTCTCTCTCTCTCTCTCTCTCTCTCTCTCCTCTCTCTCTCTCTCTCTCTGTCCGCAAAATATTTTCGCCGGATATCACATCAGAATCTGCAGCGATATATGGAGAACTCTATACGGACTTTGGTTGAAAATAATATGGTAGATGTTTTAATTGTATAACCAACATTTTATTTAAAGAAGAAAAATAAAAATTAAAGGCGTATTCGAATGTAGAAAAACAGTTTTAATTATGCAAGAGGAAAAGCGTTTATAGTTGTGAAAAAGAACGCATAAAACAGTGACGTCACTAATGTTTATACATTTACTAATGACGTCATCTGCCATGTTTAGAATAAAAAGAAATGAACTATTTCATTCAAATTTGATTTAGATCTACGTACGCTATGAAATGTATGCAATACAATTTTTCCGGCCTAAACCTATACAATTTATTTATCTATTTGTATTCTAGATCTAGAGATTCTAGACTAGATCTAAATCTACGCAAAACCTAGACGTAGACGCTAAGATCTAGATTTAGATTCTATCTACTCTAGAATCTATTCCAAAAATAAATTTCTATATTAAACTATTTCATGCCTTAATTATTTTATAGAAATCTTTGTTTGTTTTGCTACGAAACTGGCTAATTTGGGATTTAAAAAAATTAATTTAAAAGAATAGGCATATTCGCGTAAGTTAGGTTTTTTTTATAAATGCGCTTTCATTCAACATGTTTTAAAGGTGCCTAAATAGCTGAGATGATAGTGTACTTGATACCACACAGGTTTGTCATTAATAGCGTTCAGCGTGTAGTAAAGCACATTGCGTTTTGACCAATAACTATTTCATTAATTATTTTCTCAAACAAGTACAACATTTTAAAATATATAGACCTATAATTCACGTGAAACGAGTACCGATGGCTAGTGGAAATATAAAAGAAATGTACGGAGTGACAAAAAAAAGCTATTGTGTAAAATTTAAATATTTATATATTATGATAATTATATACCGTAAGTACATTTATTTTAATCTCAGTTTTCAAACTTCTGAAAACAGATAACTATAATTGACCTTTAAGTTTATAAATTAAGACATATCTAAGCAAACACATATCAAGTTTTCTTGCAGGCTTTTTTCTCCAGAGGAGAGGTACATTTGATATTTTCGGGTGGGAGGGAGAGGGGGCGGACTAAATTATTTAAGGGCAGACACTGGTAAGTGTATATGTTTTGTATATAAACTCAATTTCGTTCGAGAGAGGAGGGAGGGGGGATGTAGACTTTCTTCGTGGGGGAAAAGATGCCTGGAAGAAACACTGAATGTATCATAAAAGTAAAATGTTAATATAATTTTAAACTACTTAGAGGCGTCGCGAGGTGGGGGCGGGGGGCGCGGACCGAACTGGGTGACACAATTTAGGAGGTGATACCAAGACAAAAAGTTGAAAAATTGATAAATCTTAACACAGTTTAATTAAGACTAATCAGAGTTAAAAAGTCTTATTAAGTGCAATTAATAAGTCCGATATGGGGGAGGGGTAGACACCTGGACGTAAACCTGCCAATTATAGAGAAAACAATTTTACATACAGCTGTGTTACATACAGCTATATATATATATATATATATATATATATAAATATATATATATATATATATATATATATATATATATATATATATATATATATATATGTATAATCTGATACTTTTTTGTTGGGAGGGAAGGATGACAACATTAGGTACCGGACCGGGTGACACCCTTGCTTGCGACGCCACTGAAACTACTTATCATTTCTTATAGCATGTAACAGAAGTGTCCAAAAAGTGTGGCTATTTCTGTAGACCAGACACCTGTACAGCTGATTCCTTAAATAAGTTTCTACTTCAGGTGGGTATGTATTCAAGTCGACCCTCTCAACAAAGACAGGAACGATAACCTGACCTCGTACATTGAACTCTCGCATGATGGCCAGGTTCATCTCATACTCTCGGTAGTGATCCAAGAAAAGATCTTCAGACAACAAGACCAACGTTTTTCTTGTGCCAGTTATAGCTCCACTGATGTGTGACACCATGTCCCCACCTGGAAAGTCCACTTCTCCTAAAATGTAAGAGATGTTCTTCTCTCTCAGGAAAGGGAGGATTATATTTCTTACAATCTGTCGGATTCTTGGTTCACCCTGTTAGATGAAAACAAGATGTGTAGTAGGATTCCCTACAACCTATAGACTAGAAAACGATTTTAGTTCTACCTTTTCCATATTCGACCTATATAAAGTTTTATAACTCAAACTTAAAAAGTATTTTTAAAAATAATAACTACATAACCACACAGTATAAAAATATAGAGTTTGGAAACATAACTTCTTAAGTCGTTAGAAGGCTTTCACGATTAAAAATAAAATTGGTATCTCTATATCCTGAATAGTGAAGTTTTGTTCATCCATTTATGTACCACAATCCTTCGAGATGTTTACTAATTTGTTTTATTGTTTAGTACTTTAAGCAGTAGCTAGGATTTTCGGGCCCTTTGTCAATCTGTAAAATGTGTATGTTATACCTCCTAACTATGTATTTATACGGTGTTATTATGCAGTACCCCGTAACGTAAATCACCTTTGATTGTATATCACGTTTATGTAAAAGCTAAGTAACAAATTAACATTTAAGTAAGCTAACACAGTAGCGTCAAAAGGCGGTGACGGCGGTGTCACAATTTAGGCGTGACACCATGACGAAAACTCGTAAAATTTACTGTCAAAACTATGTTTCATCCAGTTAAAATAATAAAATATTAAGGAAAGTGGGTAACACTCCAACGGAAATGTAAAATTCTTGGAGGGGGTGGGGGTGGGGTGACACCGAACCTTGTGACGCCACTAACCAAACACAAATTTCAAAAAGTTACTGACGATTTATTTTGATTTGTTAATTTTTTCTTTCAAGTTTGCAAAGATTAATATTTTCTTGAAGTCCATTTTAGCTGCTTTTGAATATTCGATACTAAGAAAGACTAAGCTACTTACTTAAAGTGCATATCTACAATTTGTTTCTTAACATCACCATAATGGAGAGACTCGGGGCGCGCAACCGTATAGGCTACTATTGTCTAGGCGCTGGAGGACACTCCTTATTTTATTAAGTCATAGATTATAGTAGATCTCCGTATCCCTATAGCTTAGCGCTCATTAAAACCAGCAGCCTATATGTGCCGTAGTTCTCATAAGGGAACCCGGGGCGCCAGTTTGGCCATTGAATAATGCAGTAACCCTGACCCACTGTGCAGGACGCTGGGAAAATCTGGGTGACAAACTGAACCGCCTCACTGTCAGGGCGCTGCCCTCCGAACTAAATAAAGACAACATTAATTGCAGAAAACTTTAACGGAGTCATAGTTTCTTTCTGGCTTCTCATTTAGGGGGGCGGCACTGCTCCTCGCGTGTGGGTTTTTAAAAAGTCTCAATTGTAATTATGGATGGATGGAAGTCGATGGTTTGTAGCGAAGCTTGTAAATTTACGGGTGCCTGATCTCATAAAAGAGTCAATGTTCAAGTATATTTATATTCTAATTCTCTCTACGGCTTTCCCGACAATAAAACAACGCCTATAGTGTTATTAATACCGATGGGCCCTATACGACCCCCCTCCCACACTGAATGCCACTACTTCTACTGTTAGAAAGGTATGGGGGGGGGCTTTTTAGTACTTTTGATATTTTTCTACACTAGAATAGAAACTGGATTTCCATTTTTTTTTTATTTTTTTTTATAAAATAAATATTTAAATTCCAATGTAAAAGTTGTAATTTTCTTCAAAGTGGGAAAAAGGCCCCTATTTGCCTTGAGCCCCTATGCCTTACTTACGCTAGCTTTAAGGTAGCTACGCCACTGACTTTAGGTAGATTGTAATTATACAACTTATTACTTCTAATCTTTAAATATTACGATTGATAAATTAACAATATATATATATACCATTTAACGTAGTTGGATCTTTTTTTTATTAGATCAATTTCTGTTAGACAATACGTTTACCTCGTCATAGGTGATGAAGACATCAACCTGTGGGTTGTAGTTGACCAAACGTCCACCGATGTGTAGCCGCCGTTGACCAATAAAGTAGAGGTACCTCAGCTTCCAGCGGTAATGGAAAAACACGGCCAGAACAAGCAAACACAGGAGATGGGTGAAAAATGTCGTCAACACAAAGCTGAAGTTTTCTTTGATCAGACAGTTTTGAGTCAATCTAGGAAGTTGTGCGACCATCTCCGAGTATTTTAAATACGTATTGTCTTCCTTTTTGAACTTGATTCCGTATTTGTAGACAATCAATTGTGTGTTAGTCACCAAGAAATGTAGACTTTGAACATACGTGCAGATAAATTGAAAGTCGTTGTATGATAAATCTACCAGAAACTCTGGATTATCAAATTTTAATCTCTTTAGTTCTTTCCACATTTCATCCGATAGACCGGGTAAACGGTTAGATGACAAATCTAAATATGTCATGTTCAAATGTCTCAGGGTGGATGCCTCGAAAAACGTCAAACGATTTTTACTTAAATATAATCTTTTAAGATTTTTCGGAAAATAAAATGTGTTTGGTATAAAATTTATTTTACATTCACTTACTCCTAGTTCTTCGAGCTTTGCCAAATCGTTTCTCAGCAAGCTGTCGTCTAAATCACCCCCACATAGTCCTGTACCCCCAGTACCCGAGAGTCCTAGTACACGGAGATTTTTCATGCCTTTAAACATGTCTTTAGAATACGAGTAAAGAGGTGAGTAAGAAATATTTAAATCTTCCAAATTAGATAATCCATTAAACTCGGAATAAAATTGTTTTTTGTGCCGTTGTATCTTGTTCTTTTGTAATCTGTAAAAAAAATATTAAATAATATATACAATGAAGCAGATATTTTGGACGGGTATAAAGATGAATATTAGATGAATGGATAGTTTGCGATAGATTACTTACTTAAGAACATTAGGTTTTTTGAGTGGTCTTTTAAACTGCAATTTTGTGAGCGAGTTTTCTGGTGAATTTCTTAATGCATCAATGAGGTCATTTACAAAAAAATCGCCAGCATTAGTAACCAATGTCTCCAACGTTGGGGGCACACATACATAATCAGGTTCTGAATTGAAATACATATAGTTTCTAGAAATAGTCAAACTTTTTATATCAGTTTCTACAAATAATTCCAAAATTTTGTCTAAAAAAAACCTGGCCCTTGGTACCTGTCTTAATTTCTCTAATGAAAACTCCTGCACGGTTTTAAAGAGTTGGATAGCGTCCAAAATTTGTTGTAAAGTTAGTTGTGTATTATCAAGGTTCAGGCCTGACAACGTTGATCCCATCACAAAAGATGTGTTAGTGAAGCTTGAGAGTTTGCAGCGTGCCAACGAAATAGATATATTTTGCTCTGATTGTATGTTTTCAAAATAATTATCACACAAGTGAGTCAAAAAGCATGTATTATAGACGCTACCAAAGCGTATTGATTGAAGACGTTTTAGCTTCCGAAATCCGGGACCCAATTTACAGTTAGTACCGATCACTGACAGTTGCCTCAAGTTAGTCAACACTGAGAACGCCTTGTCAGGTAAACACTGAGAGGTCTCGGTGTAACGGCTTGAATCTGAAAGTAAAAATGCTGCTTGATTAATGTGTATGTAAACACAATATCTTAAGTAATATTTTTCAATTAAGTTTGCAACATTTCACAAATAATGATGTTTTTCATATTTCATCGCTAAGGTGTTCTCTGGTGTTTACTTCACTTCTAATTACTGAAGAGCCAATAGAAACTTTTATTCTACTCCATTTCAGAGGGTGAACGATAATTTGAGTACTGTTTAGGTATGTAGACAAAATTTTCAGTACTTGTATAAAATCTTGTAATAGGATTAAACTCAAATTTTGAGTGACCCTTCCCATATCCGTAATTGATTAGTACCTTCCACTATTTAAGATTTCTAAATTATAGAAAACATAAGTACTTTTTCAGTTAGGTAAACATAGGAAAAATATCTTATTCTCTTGATTCTTTCAAATTTTGAGTAATTTCTGGTGAAAAACAATGTTTTGGAACTTTGGCTCTGTACATACGGCTCATTTTTTTAAAAACCTGGGTAAATGAATCGGCCTTATGGATAAACTATCGGTCAACCTCTGCTCGCAAGGCGAGGGCTAAAAAATTACCACAAGTGAAATTCTCCCTACATGAGCTATATATTAAAAAATATTGCCAAACGATCCCCCTTATATTTTCTGAGGTCGTAGACCAACCCTAGAGGTTTGTCCAGGTGCCGTAGTTTCTTATATAAGCATAGCAGATGTTTTTGAAAAAAAGTAAACAAAGATTACGTCATCGTTAAATTTACACAGAGGCGTAGCTAGGGGAGGGTCGGGGTGGGGGGCGGCCGCCTCGGGCGCTGACCGTAGGGGGCGCCAAAAGGGTGGGAAAAAATTTTAAGGCTGATTTTATGCTGCAATTTTGAGTTATAAATAGTCTAAGTTAAGAAATGTAATGGCTACGCGCCTTTACATACTGGTAGAACTGTTTTTTACCTTGATTATTAACTGTAAAACATATACTCTTAAGAAAGAGGGACCGGCAAAACCGCTTTCCAGATTTTCTTAGATGGGGGGGGGGGCGCTTTTTTAAACTAAAATCGGAAGAATTTACACTAGATTGGTAAGTCGATAAACGTTACTTACCACTTATGAAACAACCGATTGTATTAAAACGTAAAGTACAATTGTTTAAACGTAAAATACGTTAGTGACTTTTATTAAAATGGTACAGGAGGGGGGGCTCTGTTAGGCTAATTAAAATCTCAAAATTATACTGGATTTTGAGTAATAAGTTAATAAGCTAGTTCTTTGTTAAGATTCTAATGATTCTCTCAACTTTAACGTTAGAGATCAGATATTTTTAGTTTATTGCATTATTTTACATCTTGCCTGGAGTGGTAGATAACCTGATAGAGTTATAGAACCTTAAAGTTAACATATGGTAAAAAAAAATGAAAACGTCGTGATTACAATATAGTCTGACCTATGTAAATAAAAGTGCATGAAACCAACAAACAAGTATTGGAAATTTTTCTAATAATCAATAAGCAGTACAAATGGTGTAACCTAAAACAAACAAAAAAATTATGTAAAATATATTAAAAATTTAAAATAGTACTACATGCTTTTTAAAAGTAAACAACAAATTAAAAACAAACAAATAAACAAACAAATTAAAAACAAACAAATTTAATTAAAAAAATAAAAATTGAAATTAAAAATTAATAATAGACAGACTTGTAATAAGATTTTTGGCAACAGTTGGTGAAACGCCGGGATCTAACTCAAAACATAGTTACTATAAAAAATCTTTGTCCCAACGCTTAGCTAATCTTCTTACCATTTGCATACATAGTATGACGTCATTGTTACAAAAATAGAACGAACAAACTAATAAAAAACAAACTAATTAAAAACAAACTAATTAAAAACAAAAAAATTAAAATGTCATGATAAAAAATGCCATAGTTAAAGTTTTGTTATTAAAAATTTAAAATAGTACTACCTTATTTTTAAAATTAAACAATAAATTAAAAACAAACCAATTAGAAACAAACAAATTAATTTTTTTTAAAAATTAAAAATCGATAGACTTGTAATGAGATTTTTGGCAAGAGTTAGTGAAACGCCGGGATCTAACTCAAAACAGAGTTACTATAAAAAAAATCTTTTTCCTAACGCTAAGCTAATCTTCTTACCATTTGCTTACATAGTATGACGTCATTGTGACAAAAATAAAACGAACAAACTAATAAAAACAAACCAATTGAAAACAAACAAATTAAAAACAAAAAATAAAAAAATAAAAACTAATTAAAAATCAAGCTAATTAAAAATAAATAAAATTTATGAGGTCATGCTTATTAAAACTAAACAACTAATTAAAAACAAACTAATTAAAAACATACTAATTAAAATTTTTTTTAAAATTATGATTTCTTGATAAAAAATGCTGTAGTTAATCTTTTGTTTTTAAAAATTGTAAATAGTACTACTTTATTTTTAAAATTAAACAACTAATTAAAAACGAACTAATTAAAAACAACAAACAAAAAATAATTTAATACAACAAACAAATACAAAAAAATTAAAAAACAAATTATTTAAATTCAAACTAACAAAATGCAAATTAATTAAAATGAAACTTATTAAAAACAAACTTATTAAAATTAAACTAATTAAAAAATAATTAAAAACAAACGAGAGTATTTACTATATGTCATTGCGCCAGGCTGGCCTGGAGCCGTTTGAGTATTTTACTATATGTATTTGCGTCTGCGGCTCCAGCTCCTTGCAAAAAATTCCGAAAGGGGACCTGATATACTACTTGGATCTCTGTATTCAAGAGAAATAAATATCATGGATTCTTGAATCGTTATCGGATCAGTAAAATAGCATACGGTTGGAGCGGGTGGGCGGAAGACGATACCCTTGTCGAAATTTTAGGAGCTAAAAGCATAAGTTTATTGTAATGAATAGGTCATTTTTTAATTGTTTGTTTTAACACAAGTCCTAATACTGCAATTTTTATATAGTTAAGGCCACTAGACCTACTAAACGATGTAAAAATGCTACAAACAACTCTTTAACTCAGAACAGGTATATTTTTTCTGACATTACTAATCTTTTATAAAAGAAAAACGCATATTAATGGGAATTCAATTGACGTAGAGTAAAGTTTTAAGGAACGAAAATCCTACACTGTAATTATTAAACCTTTTCTGGACTGTCGCACACACACTTACACACATACACATACACACACGCATGCTTACACACACAAACATATATATATATATATATATATATATATATATATATATATATATATATATATATATATATATATATATATATATATATATATGTGTGTGTGTGTGTGTGTGAATTTATTTATATATACATACATATACGCACACATACATATATATACACACTATTATAATTTTAAAACTATAATACACTATAAGGATTTTAACATGAATTTTGGTTTATTTTTTTAAGTAATCGTTTCCACACATTGTCAAAACAAGGTGCATTAAATGGAGATAAAACATAATTGACTATCTTTAGTTTTTAAATTCGCCGCCTAGACCGAGCCTCGTTCTTTGTGAGATGATCACCACACATGTATAAAACAAAACAAAAATGCAACAAACGCGCCTCTGTTCAATGTTGCGAGACGCCGCGTCGCCGACACCGAGTCATAAAAGCCATCTAACCACCGCAACATGTTGGTTAAACAAGGTGTTCAAAACGTTTATGATAAGAATGTAGATACACCACCACCAACATCACCTTTTATTGGTTTAAGAAAAAAGATTTCTTTTTAGAGCAATTTCTCAGTTTACAAAAAATAAAAGCTAAATTTTTAAAAATATGAACATCTTTGTTTTTATGCTTAGAATTGAGTTTATTATTAATTTTTCAAACTTGAATTGATTAAAAATGTCTTTTTGGTAATATTATTTATATACTAATATTAACATTTTTCGGGCAAGTGTCCATTCGGGAAATCGGCCTTCGGGCAAACGGCATTCGGGCAAGTGTCTTTCGGGAAAACGTCCGGCTCCCCGCCCCAACACATAGACAAGAGCACAAATATTTCTACCACATGCTTAATGAACTAATAAATATCGAATACAAAACAAGACGATACTTTTAGCAGGTGACTTTAATATGGTTATTGACGATAAAAACCTAATAGGGCAAGATGACAGGAACATGAAAAAGCTAAAACACGATAAATAACAAATTAGTACATTAAATAATAAAATACAAACGACAAGCTTAACAAGACACCTACAGAAAACACATGTTTCACTGAAACAACACACTATAGCAGAACGCATCATAGCGCAGCCAGGCTAGACGCTCATGAAAGAATAATGGTAAACAAAATAAAACACCTCTCGATCAGACATTTACATTTACAGACCACAAAATAGTAATTGCTCAATTACAAATTAACCCCACTCACAGAACAAAGAATACATTTTGTAAACTCAACAACACTCTTCTAGAAAATAGCGAATACATCACAGAAATAAGGAAGCT